TAATGCACAATATTGTAAACTGATAGATTCAAAAACTCGATAATCGAGTTTTTGTTTGATTTTGCCGAGCACTAGTAAAAACCAAATTGATCATGTAATTTTTTTTTGTATTTTTTATCATTTATTTATTATAATAAATAAAATATAACTTATACGAAACTAATATAATTAGTCGAGTTCGCTATAGGCTTTCAGCCTGCGAACTCGACATTTGGCATCTATGGCTTATATCCTACTATACTAATTGCTGCACCTGATGCTCGCCGCTTGGGCACACTTTCAGAGAAAGTGTCAAAAGCTTTTTTCCGCTACAACATTTGTTACGATATACCCTGACATCTCGATGGCATAAATTTCGTCGCCTTTTAGGCTACAAAATTAATGCTTATCTCATTTCACGGCATATCTCACAAAGTTGAATCATTTCGATGGCATGAATTTCGTCGCCTTTTAGGCCACGAAATTAATGCTTATTTCGTTTCAAATTACTATTTACAAGTTAGATTAAATGTATGCATAAAGATTTATTTGAATAAAAATATATACAGAGTAAAAAATATTGAATTACAAATATTTAGTAAAATCATTTTTCGGATTGTTAATCGAATCTGACTTTGTTAATTTCACTTTGTTCAACAACCTAGATAAATTTTATCTCGTTAAATCATGTGCTTATTGTTCTTACGTCATTTGCAGTGCCCCCTACGCTGTAGGGGCTCGACCCAATCTCACCGCGAAATTAGTAGCGAACACGCGCATGAATCATCGGCTCCCATCTGGTTGGTAAACCTAAATTACTCTTGTATACCATCTCCTCACGGATGAGCTAATCACAAGACACAAAAAGATTGCCATACGCCAATGGCAGTCGCGAGCCAGATCGGCTCACACTGAAACTTAGCCAGTATTACGATCAGACACCATCTCGCCACGCCGCGTTGCGGCGTATCATCGACGTTTCCAATCGACACCGGCAAAGTTTTCAGTCGAACTTTGATGATGGCGATCCATTGCATGAATCACCAACGCCAAAGTTCGATTAGAGTTTGCAATTGCGGGTTAAAGGCCAAGGTATCATATTAAAAAAAATTGAAGTTCATTTATTAACTGATTTTACCAAATTAAAACTTGGAAGAGATCAACAAAATAAAAAATATAAAAAGGCAAAATGAGTTAAAATAAAGCAAAAAAATAGAAAAACTCAATAATGATATTTTACTATACATATTTGAAATATTGTTACCAAAACAAAGGGAAAAAATTAAAACAACTTGTCAAAAATTTCGCGATCTTTATATTAGAAGCTTGAGAACAAGAAGAAATATTAATTCCAAACAACATATTTTCTTCCGATTACATAAAAAAGATCAAAAATTAAATCAAGA